TGGTTTTAACCAGCACTGCTAGATTTAAAAAAATTAGCAAACCTTTTCTTAAATATTTTCTTATCTATTTTCTAAGATGTTAAGCTCATTCATAATTTAATAGCGATATATTTTAAAAACGTCATGAAGTTCTATTTGGAACCATCTGTAAAGAAAGTGTTGTATCTAGAAATTAAATGATATTGTACAAGATGTGGGATTTTCCTGAGAAGAGTTAGCATCTTGATGGTCTTTTGTGAAATTAAAGAAAAGGAATATCTACTTTTTAAAATTAAGTGGACTGTGTGACTGAGACAGACGACTTACGAAGGCTTCCTTTCCACTGTCACTATATGCTTGCTTAGTGTAAGGAATTGTTGCATCACAAATATTATAAATTATATTTAATATAAATTGCAGTATAAATTAAGATAAGTTTTCCCCAGTGAATTATAAGCCTGGCGGCCCGCCATGCTTTACAAGGCCCCCCGCATGTATGAAAGCTGCATCTTGGTTCCCTTTAAGAACAGTGGAGAAATAAGTAAAGTAGAATGAGAGAATCTGGGTGTTTTCTATGTCTACTTATGACTCTGTTTATTTTCCACTTTCTGCTTTCTTCTGTGGCTCAATTTATTATAGCCTACATTAACAATTTAATTGCAAATCAAGAAAAAGAGTCATTTTAGAATATTATTGGACCAAATAATAATGACATCATCAGTCGATGATGTCTTTTAAGAATCAGCTGTTGCAGAAATCTCCAGCGAAATGAAAGAGATGGATACACAGAGAGAAGGATAAATAAATAAAAAAAACAAGATGTCTGCCAGCTGAAAAGATAGTAATTTGCAAATGTTGGCTGCCTCTAGTAAAATGTTTGCCTACTCATAACATAAATTGCCTGTGTGTGGGCTTCCCCTGTGCTGCTCATGTACTGCGTTTTTATAAACTGAAAAATACACGGCACCTTGTGTAGAAATGTCCAACAAGACTTACTTTGTTCTTTTATTGCAGTAATATTTTCTCAAATAAAAAAAAAAAAAACAGGATTTTATTTCAATAATTTACTTCACTGTGGGAAGAAAATTTCACAAATAGAAAAAAAATATAATGATGGCAGAGTTGTTGGCTTTAATAAAAAATAAATGCGTAAAAGATTGCTTCATCACTGTGAAAAGGACGTTCCTTTACAAAAAAGAACCCTTAACAAAACAAACAATAAAGAAAAGTCACTGCTAGATGAATAGGAGACGGAGGGAATAGAGAAAGGAGAGAAAAAAACAATAATGGTCTCTACAGTTCAGCATCTGCTCATTAATCTTTCATAGACAGCCAAGTGGCAGCTGCAGGAAGCCCAGGTTATGGTATCAAATCTCAATTTATAAATAGAATAGTTTATAGAGCTAGGTGGCAGAATACCGTCATCCAAACTGCTTTTCTCCTGCCTCTCTCGGTGGAATCTCAATATTTCCAACTTCCAGAGTTTGCGTAGCATTCAGCAATGCTGTGTAGTCTGAGTGTAAGACGTAAAAATACACATCTGTCAGAAGTGATAAAATGATGAAACTGGAGTGGAAAAACTGTCATATGCCTACTGTGTGTAACACATATGTTCCATGAGTTTATGAAATTTTGTCAAAAATGTATATCGACCAAAACATCCCCAATCGTGTTTGGGCAAAGATAGGCTGCTAATCGTAAACAGTAGAAGCTATAAACGCCACATATTTGGCCCGATTGTTTACCAGACACGAGAAAATCCTCTCATGAATCCTGTTTGCGATGGTGATGCTTCAGTGCCACTGACCTCCATTGCTTCAAGGTCGACTTGCTGACAGCTGAAGAATGGCAAAGTACCCGTAAGCTTATGTCATGGCACAGGTGATGTTAGGTGGAAGTCCGATCTTCCCTGCTCCTCAGTCCCCTAGACACAGTGGTGACAAGTGAGCCTGCTATTGATCAATGCACCGTGAAAGGACCTTATATTATATGACAAGCTCATACCATTTTTTTTTAAACAACAAATAGACACCAATAACTCACTGGGTAAAACAAGGTGACTGACTTCTTTCTTTCTGTCTAACTTCTCTCGTTAATTTAAAAATGCTTACTATGTTCTTTTAGGAATAGGTCGGGATCTTTAAAGCAAAGATATATTAAAAAAAACACAATGTTATCAAATATACACCAAACTTAAAAATAGGTTTTGATTAAAGTAAATAGATATGTAGATTTGTATGATATAGATTAAATGAATAAAAGCAAAGTGTATGTAAAATACAATTAGAGTAAAAAAAGTGAAAATAAAAAGCTGCCAAACTGGCATAAAACAAGACATGTGGCGGTGTGGTTCTGTTGGTCTGTGCAGTATATGTCATCATTATGCAACATGATTGGCATAATGGGTCTGGGGTTACAGCAAGCTATCAGCTCTCAGAGGAGAGGTGAACGTCCCGTCATTCAGCTGTCTAGAGGTGCAAAGTAAGTCATGATTTGCAGGTTCTTTTTACATTGTTAGGTAGGGTGTGATGGCTGCTCTGTCTGACAAATTCAGGTAACGTAACAAATGAAACAATTTAGCTTTCAGTGTTTATAATAATGTTCTTGATGTTAACCAAAATTATTTACATCCTGTTCAATGCCTAAATAATGAACAATAAACCTCTTTAGAGTATTTTTATTTTTTTTCCAAAGTCAGAAAATGTATATACATTTTATATGAAATGCTGCAGATTAATCTATGTAATTTGAATCAAATGTTTTGGGTACACTTCCACAAGTTTCTCACAGAAGTTTGCAGGAATTTAGGAGCATTTGGCATGACAAAAAAGTAACTAATTTAGTTCGTCTTTCACCTTGCTTGCACACGTTATGAGTTCTGCTCACTAATCTTCCGTGGGATTGAGATAAGAGTGTTGTTCTGGTCATTTCAATAAATTGACTTTCTTAAATGGCATCCTTGGAAATCCAGGGTGAGGCAAACCTTGGAGTTCCTGGTTTAAACCTTAAAATGTCTATCTCTTTATAAAACTACTGTCTCCATCCATTTCTTCATTGCTGTTCATTTAGGCAACTGGTTGTGAGTTTACACCACCTAATGCTAATAAAATATTAAGTCAAAACCCACACGTCTCTGGTCTTCTGTCATGTTTTCTTCTTTCCTTTGTTTATTGCTGTGGTTCAATGGTCCAGTTCAATGAAGTATTTATTTTTCTTTTTGTTTCCATTTGTTTTTAGTACAAATTTCACTGTTTATGTGTTTTAGAAAAGAGATTATGCTCTTATTTAAACTGCGGTGCTAGGAGGTGTGCTGATACAACCATTCATTTTGTTTTATCTCAACTCTCTGCATCTGCCACTTCATTATTCAAAGGCCAACCACACAGTTAGCACCAGAGATCCTATTTCGAGAAAGTCCCACTAGGACCAATCAATGCTATTAGATCTGTCAGCATGATTAGACACACTCATGTGTTCTCCTTATTTCTTTTGCTGGCCTGTAGGAAATCTTGTGAGCCTTTTATTTATAACCAATCCCAAGGCATATCACTTAGGTATACTGCCAAGGATCTAAACAAAGAAACATTTAGACTGAATGAGTCTTTTAATAATAATATTAAACTTGCTATACTATATTATTCATGGTTTGAATAAAGAAAGACAATTAACATTTTACTGGGAAGAGACTTAAAGCTAAATATACAATGAGGAATAAAATTGATGTTGGAAAGATTATTTTCATCAATTTTTTTAATGTATTTTAAGCCTGGTTTCCCAATAACTCATCTTTTTAAACCAAACTAAAAGGTTGTCTTTAGTTGCTGGAAATCTCTCAGTACTAAAGAAAGTTTGATCAGAGATCTATTGCAGAAACTTTTGAAATAATATTGACATTTTATTTCCGCTCAATCAAAATGGCACAAATTAAATTAAAAACAAATTATTATGGAATAAAGTTGGTCCATTAGATGGTTAATTAATTTGTCACTTTATTTTTTTTTTTACAGATATCCAGTATCGTGCTGGCCAACATAATTTAGCTTAGTCATGACCGAAAATATAATTTTGTAAAAATTGAGATATACATTTGTTTAAATACTGAAATTGTTTTTGCACAGAAACAAAATTTGCCTGTTAGAAATGTTGGCTCTGTCTGGTACCAGAGGTGGGCACTTTGGTCCTGAGAAGTGACTTGGACTCGAGGTCTAAAGAGAAAAGAATTGATTTGGACTATACGTCTTGAGAATTAAATTTATCATTAGGTCTAAAGATTGTGGAATGGGTAATGTAGGCTTAATGACAGCCACTGCAGACAGAATAGGAAATTGTGGCCATTTTACCCTTATGCAAAAAAAAAAAACACATGAAGTTAATGTACTGTGCCTTATGATTGCAGTTTGGATATAAAATATTTCTTTAAATGAACAGAATTTAATTTCACATGAATATGGCTGCAAGTATCTTATTCTCTATCTTTATATATGTCATTTTAACTTTGTTGTTTCACATATGGAAATTAGGTTTCCATAAAATCCCCTTCCATCTGAGTAAAGGGGTGGCAGTTGGTACACAAACCCAGACATCCCTGGTTTGAACCCGGTTCCCTCCCTTTCTGGGTGTGCTCAGCTTCAGGCTGGATATCTGGAGTAAAACATCTACCATGTACATGTGTGATGTACATGGAGGAGTCAGCTGCCGCACTGCAAGGTGCCGAAAGGACAAGTGAAACACAAGTGATAAAAACACATGGATAAACCAAAGATTGAAAGGCATGTGAAAATTGTATCGCGTACTGTCAAATTATATAGTAGAATAAAGAAAATATGGGAGAAAATATTTAATCTGTGGAATGTGTGTCCTCCATGTGAAACAGACGTTAGCAATAATGGGAAGAGTTAGACTGCTCTGATGCAATAGAAATTTGAAAGCGAACTTCTACTTATGTAGTGTTTAACTCTCACAGAATGATTCAAGGTTCACTGTATTTATTTTATTTTTTTTGTCATCTTCTGTCATTCCAGCTGTCATTTGCTGCGACCACCCCGGTTCTGGCAGACAAGAAGAAGTACCCCAACTTCTTCCGCACCGTCCCATCCGATAACGCTGTGAACCCAGCAGTCATCAAATTCCTTAATTACTACAACTGGAGCCGGGTGGGGACCCTCACACAGGATGTTCAGAGGTTCTCAGAGGTTAGTTGCTTGTGTGTGTTCTGTATAAAGAGCACATTATGAAGATTAAACGTGAACAAAACTACATTAACTTTAACAATAGAATGCTGAAGTTTGTGAAATTTCATATGCAGGATTGCAATACCTTATTTAATCATTTTAATTTTCTTGGGTAGCTTTTTTTTTTTTTTTCAAAGTTAAAATATTTGCTATGAATAGATTTGTTGGTCCTTGGACAAACTTGGGTCCTAATATTGATAGGGTAAGATTACTTAATTTGGGGTTTGTTTTCTCCCCGTCATATGCAAATTTTTCATACATCTTAGTGGTGTAAGAAGATCAGCTGTTTTAAGAAAATGCTGCATGTGGGATGTTTTTCATAGTCACCGTGCTAAACGATGCCTGCAAACAAATGTTGATATTTCAGTAACCTTAAGAGGTGTGGATTTCATTCACCCACTGTTTTTATCAGAAGAAAGAGGGGAACATTTCTGTCGTTTTCAAATTTTAGGTTTTACGTAAGGTTTTTAAATTGCATAGAATATATTACTGTAACTTCACATGCAAGTGGAAGCCTAGATGCAACCATTAGTATTTTAGCCACTTTTAGCCTTTTATATAATTTTACCTTATAAACTGCGGTGACCCTACGGTTTAGGTTAAGAACCACTGTTCTCCAGCAATTTCTAATACTGTTTAGGTGGATTTTTTTCATTATTCAAAAGCTTTTATTCCTCTTCAACAGTTTTTCTGTTATAATAATCCCATTTGTTCTGGTACATCTGCCTATTGCTTGCATTTCTACAAGTCTTCAGCAGTTGACTTCAAACGTTTTGGCATCTTCAACAAAAGCATTCAGCATTCCCACTTGCATTTTCAGAGGAAATGCACCCTTTCTAGTTTGATCTCTGAGACTGACTTAGTTAAAGATAGTGTTTATTTTTTATTTTTCAAAAATTACATCACAGTTTTCTTTTCTGAATTTCTGTTACCTCAGTATCATAGCAATTACCTTATAACATTACTTCATCTCAATACATGTTATTCAAATGCTTTGTCTGCACTAAAAAAGATTCACTCACTTCCACATGTTGAACGCTTGAAAGACCTCTTTTCTAAATTTTGTTATTTCATCTAAATTTTGTTATTTCATCACTTAACAATAACTTGGGGAAGGTATATCCTGTAGATAGAATATTAAACTATAAGTCTGAGATAGTAATCACCAAAATGGGGGTGGGCAGATCTGACAATGACACCTTTTCAAAAATAACTTAATCTGTCCTGACATAGAAGCTCATACTTTATAAACATGATATCAGCTGATAATTTATAAAACATGTCTTTTTTTAATGGATATATCCATGTAATATGCATTTTCTTTTATTTATCAACTCATACAAGGCAATTTTAAAAACAGAGTGCCAGCAACTTAAGTGGCAACAATTATTTTGTATTATTTTCTGATTGTATGTTTTAAGTACTTCTAAAGGAATGTTTTCTAGATTTGTGGATAGTGTTGTTTACCCAACATTTTGTGTCTATAGATTCAACTCTATGCTCTGTGGATTTTGCTAAAGCCAGAACAGTTTAACTCATCAAGACCTGATGCAACATATGAGTAATTCCGTTTTCATATCCAGAGAATCCCTTAGGCCTGAATAAGTTAACTCATTAGAGCTTTTCTCATTGTGCCTCTTCGTAGGAGAGACATTTTCAATTCTTATTATGGTGAAGCATTATATCAATATTATATGCCTCAATTTATTGCACTCTCATTAAGGAAGAATGTTTTGCCCCAAGCTGATTCACCAACTATAGGTGCACCTGAGAACTCACTAATCATTAATACTTTTTTTTTTTTTTTACAATTATCATTTAGATACTGTGAGTATGATTTAAATGGATGACAGTTAATCGTATTAAATGTATAGTTGTTTTTTATGGTATTTTTTGCCCACAGGACACAAAAAACGTCCTAAAAGACTCGTTGTAATCTCTTAAGATTAGATACTTTAGGAGATTCGTCATCAGATTAAACACACTTGAAACAAAAGCTGATCATTAGATCTGGGAAATATTGACTGTTTATAAAAGAGGGATGACAAATAAATAAAGACTCCAGAAAATGAATACTGTTTTACAGCAACTCTCATAATTTAAATCATGCATTCATCCTTTTCACTGGCCATCTGAACAACTCAAACTGATGCAAAAGTCAACTTTTACGTTGTTCATCACATTTTATTTATTGTTTACTGATAAGTGATACTTTTGATGAAATAGCTCAAGTTGAAATAAGTGTCTCCTGGATATGGTGTAAAACCTATAAGACCAAGACCGTTCAGGAGACAATAAAAAGAAAGTGAGGTAAAAAGAAGTGCAACATGGAAAAGTTGTTGCAATCAGAGTATAATTATGAAATTTTCAAATTAAAAACTCTGTTGGTTCCATTTGGTCTCGATATCAGGGCAGGTCTCTATCACCACCGTCTGGAGAGAGAAGTGGAGGATTCATTCATAAATGATGGAAGTAAAAAGAAAAACACAAACAAAACTAGAGTTTACTCGTGGAGTAAGGACAATAATGTAGCTACATTTATATAAATAGTCACTGGCATATCATCAAGTATAAAATAAAGACATCTAGTGACAACAGAGGACAGTGAAATCCAAAAACAACAATTTAACAAGAAAACCCTTCCTAAATAAAACCTCAGAAGGAGTTAATCTCCTAAGATCTCCCAACCACAAAGGGAAGTGAGTTTTAAAGATGATATATCTTTTACTATTTGCAGCAAAACAGAATACATGTGTGTAAATGAGAGGGGCATCAGTTCAACAGTGATGTTACACGAAGTAGAAAAAAAGAACAGAACTTCAAGTACGGTCAATTGTCCTGAGCAATTGAGAGTGTGGAAGAGAGGGAAAGTAGTGTGTGCAAGGAGGTTGGAATGCATGCAGAAAAATGTCAGATATGATGTGCGATAAAAGGGTTTCAGCAAGAACTAAATGAAAGGTGTATGAGACAGCGCTGCAGCAATGTTATATGGTTCAGAGAAGGTGCCAATGAGGAAAAGCCAGGAGGCAGAACTGGAGGTAAAGATGTTGGATAGATCAGGGATGGATATGTCAGAAGAACACCTAATGTTAGATGTTTAGTGAATAAAATCCAAAAGGCGACAATGAGATCATTTGTACATTTTCAGAGAAGAGACAATGATTTATTTGGGAGATGGATGTGGAGTTTGGAGCCATAAAGGTGGAGGCCAAGAAGAAGACCAAAAAGGAGATTTTTGGATCTCGTGAAAGAAGACATAAAGTTATCTCATTCCTTTTTATTGGATTTCTTTGAAGTGATACTGACAAGCAACCACACCCAATGTAGGCTGGATACATTGCCAATTTTGAATCGGATTATATTCTGTAGAAATCAGAGCTTGAAACTGATTTCTAGATATAAAAGTATCCTCATATTTGCTCTTTAAAGAATATCACTGCATTGAATAAACTCTTTAGATCAAAGCTGACTTTTACAGCACAGAATACAGCACAGATTTTTATGCACTGGCTGAAGTAATCATCACCAGTAGGGTTAGAGTAGGGTTAGGGTTGACTCAGCACTTGTCACATTCAATTTAGTTCAGTTGAAAAATACTTTATTAATACCAAAGGGAAAGTGTTGTTGTAACTTATATTATCAAAGTTTATTCAAAGAGTTGCTGTATGCGGTGACGACTGCAGGAAAGAAGGACCTCCTGCAGCTGTGTGCTTTACAGCGGATATAAAGAAGCCTCCGACTAAGGAAGCTCTGAAAATATAGGTTCCTTCTGTGTTTTGTCAACAATACAACATTAACCATTCAGTGCATGATGTTAAGGGTCTCCTATCTGCCTTTTCATAAAAACATTGAACAATACCAATGCAAAGATGGGCTCCTGTTTGATAGCTTAATATGGCTGACTCCTACGATGATGCAGAGTTTGCTAAGGTAACATTTGAAAATGTGTAGTGGTGCTTTATGAAAACGCTATGACTTCTTCCCTTGGCAGTTCTGAGGTGTGACTGTGATATGTTAACGAAACAATTGGATTGTTAGGAAGTCTAGAGTGTGGATGAACTATTTTTTGTGCTATTTCTACAAACAATTTCTGAAGGTCCTCCTCAGTCTAGATTGGTGACTGATGCTGTAATAATAACATAGAAGTGAAAGAGGATTTTGGCTGTGAGTTCCAGATTCGAGGCAGGAATGTGGTCCCATTCGACTCCCCGTCGTCATAATCTAAAGCATTATTTATACATTTGATTTTAATTCTCGCAGTATCAAACACCATATCAGATATGACATTTTTTATTAAAAACCATAATAGGCATATTGACAGAGTAAATGAATGTAATATTAGAATAATTTGTTTTACTTCTAAGACAGTAGGATGTGGAAAGGGGGGAGGGAGAGTATGTATGTGAACTCTCATTGTAAATCTTGGAGAGACAAAATCCCTTTATCTCTCTCTTCCTGAAGACACCAAGGGGCTTAGGATAGGCTGAAAACAGACAGCCAGATTCAATCAGCCCACCACAAGATTGGCTTCTAATCCTGATTTACAAATATTCAAGCATCTCTTCCACACTTCATGATTCTTGCAATCTTTTGTCAAGTTCAAAGCTTGCTGTTTTGCAGTTACTTTTGGAAATTATTCAGTGTTACAATTTGTTGATGAAAAATAAACGTTTTATTTTTGTCTGGTCATAAATAAGGAAAAAAAAAATAAAAATGAGATTTGCTTTTGCATAATTGTTCCTTAATATGTTGTTCAAATTATTTAATTTGTATTAATCACATTGTATACTGAAAGCAAATGTGGATATTTTTAATAGCCGCAGATAGAGCAATCTAACACTGAGTGTAAAATGTATCCCTTTTTAAGAAACACACAGAATGACAACACTACAAATAAAGGCAAAATTCTAAATTACCACTGATGGAGAATATTCCCTCAGCTATTATATTCTGTAGAAAAA